CTTAGCTTGTGTTTTTGTATTCTTCTTTTTTTTTTTTTCTGTTTTTAATATTTGACTCTTCTATTTTTTTGTCTTCTTTGTTTATATTGTTTTGTACTTCCTTCTTTTTTTCTCTTATTGTTATGCTTCTCTTGCTGTTCTATATTTTGAGTTTTGTTTTTGGTTTCTTCTAATATGAGTATTAGCCATTCACTTTTCTTTTTCTTGATTCTGTCCATTGCTGCATCTCTATTATGCTCATAGTCAAAATCTACTTCTATTCAATTATTTCTGTTTTTAAATTCCTTTTTAATTGTTTTAATGTGATGATTTTTTTCTAGGATTCACTGGATGTACTTTATTCTTTCTTCTTTGGTTTTTCTTAGCAAGAGGTATGTCAGCATATTTGCTTTAAAAGAGTTATTTTTATTACATATTCAATTATCTGGAGACTACTGGCTATGTTTAATTGACCCTGTAGAAAATGTTATTTTGTCTTCTTTATTGTTTATTTTTTCTTCTTGTTCTGTTATTTCTATATCTATAGTTTCTAATTTAGTCTCTTTGTTTTCTGTTGATGTTCTTCTTTAAATTCCAAATTATTTATAGTATGACTTGTTTGATATTGTAATGTAGCAATGCTAAGGCCTTTCATTTACTTTTTTAATGTTTCTAATTTCTGCTTTAACTCTTCAGAATTGTTTCTTTTTCTTGGTTTTGCTCTCTATTGATAAATTTTTCTGTCTCATTAGTTTTGACTAAAATACTTATCTTATTTCTTCTGCTTTTTTTTTAGTTTACTTCTTCTTTTTTCCTGTTTGTATCATATTCAAACAAGCTTAGGTTGTAGCTTATTGTTTTCAGCTTTTCTGCCTACTTGTCAATTATTACTTCCTTTAGCTAGCTTATTTCTGCTATTTTCAAGACTTTTAATACTTGGTCATAAACTAGCAAGTCTTGTAGCATAATGTGTTTTAGATTATAGATTGCTAAATCTTTTGTGATGTGCTCTATGTTGCTTGAACTTTTTGTTAGTATTTTAAAAACTTGGTCTAATATTTTACAATCTACATATCTGTAATTTCTGTCACCTATATCTTTAATATGCTCTATAATATCTTCATTATATGTTTTGATTATTAGTTGTTTTAGTTTGGTTATTGCTATATCATGTGCTTATTCTAGCGAACTACTTTATTACACATATTTGTTTGTTTATTTTACTTATTTTTTGTATTTTTTGTGAAACCTAAATTGATCTTTACAACAGGGTCACAGGAATTTATCAAAATTTCTACAAAAAATTTTTGTTTTCATTGGAATTTTTGATCTTTTCAAGCTATACTGCTTTTAAGCTTTTTTCTTATGTCTTTGTTTTCTAGCTAGGTGTAATTTTTGCTGCTCTTTCTTTTTTGTTAAGGGTCTAAGTATTGTTTTCTAGTAAATTTTATAGTTTTTCTATGTTTTACTTCTTAACAATTTTTGGTCAAAGGATCTACAGAGGAGAGTTGTCCTTTGAGTACTTTACTTTTTGATAGTTACTAATAATTATAGAAACTCTTTTTGTAATTCTTTCATACAAAAAATAACAAAAATTCATTAGTAACAAAATTATTAATAACTAATTATTTTATTAAAATAACTAACTTTGATGCTTTAAGTACACTTGTCTAGCTTACAATTTTATATATTTTTTAAAAGTTACAAGTTTTTAATTTTCAAACTTGCAGTTTAATACTGCTAAAACAGTCTTTGGTTTTTGTAATTAAGCTTTTAACTATTTTTTATCAACTAATTTTTTAATCTACAAAACTGTTTTAATAAAAGTTATAAAGCATCTTCTTCTAATCAAAACAAGTCTAAAAAGAAGCTTGTAGCCTCAAATTTAACAAAGTTATAATAAAAAACAACTTTAAATTTTTATTATTTTTTTAAAAAAATTTTTTGTTCTTACTTTCAAATTTTCTCTCTTATACATTTTTTGTGTAACCTTAAATTATTTCCAAAATTGGTTTTATTTAATATTATATTGTATAAATTAAATTTAACCAAAAAAGATTTTTTTTTGTTATATATCCGTGGATTTTTGGAATTGGGCCTTTTTTTATGCCCTAAATTTCATATCAGCTGATCGATTTATACCTCAAAATAACTTGAAAAACAAAATTAAAATTTTATAAAACAATAATTTCAATATAGTCAAACCAATCGCTCCACCCTTAAGCCAATCACACATACTTTAAGTAAGAAAGTAATATGAAATCGCTAAAGGCATTACAAATATTAGATTACAAAAAATTAATTTATTTAATAAATTTTATTATTTTATAGGCTGACAAAACAGCATGACTAATAACAGTTTAAGTACTTCTACCATGCAACAACATGAGTGTAAAACATGTAGTACTATATATAAAACAAAAAAAGGTCTAACTCAGCATCAAAATGCTGTTCAAAAATACAATATTCATCATAAAGAACTATATATATTAGCTTTAGAAGCAATTACTCAGTTTAAAGCAGATCTTGTTCATATTATTGGAAGCAAGCTTAAAGTTCATTTTAAGCAGTTGGGCAAACAAGCTATTTTATTTTCATGTTTAGAAAGTTTATTTTTTAGTGTTTTCGAAGGTCATATTCATTATTTTAACTCTAGAAAGGGTAGTTATAAGTGTTTTTTTCAAGGGCCAGATGCATATGCACAATTAACTAATATTTTTAATAATTCAAATTGGTGATGCAAAATTTTTGATAATGATCAGCAGACATTTGTCTTGTTGTTTGATGTACAAGCTAAAAAAGAAACTAATTGCAATTTATTTAGTAAACGGTACAAAAATAGGTTACCAAGACTAACTATAGAATGGAAAGTGAAAACAAAAAAAAATGCAAAAAATAATCAAACTTTGGCTGGGTATATGTATTTAAGCTTTTATATATGGCAAATTTAGTTTTTGGCCTTTTGAATTGTCATTACAAACACCTGATTGAAAAATAAAATTATCAGATTTCTAAACTAAGATAAGCAACATTGTCAAAAAAAAAAAAAGGTATTTAGATCTTTAATAATTCGAATGTTTTATTATTAATATTATTTATGCTAAAAATTGTATATTATAAGAAATTTTAATCACTATTTTGTTTATTCTAGAATTTTCAACATTTAAAATTTTTAAAATTTGTTTACCTTTCACCAGAAGCTTCATCTTTCTCTAGGAGCTTTGCCTTTTGCCCAGAGTTTCGCCTTTTACAGAAGTTTAACACTTCACCAGGGTTAATCCATTTCATCTATGTAGAAATCCCATCCAAAATCCAAATTACAGAATTATATAATTCAAATAACAGGTTTGGATAGAATTACTAGTCACGTTCATGTGATATAGAACAGTTGTCGAAATAATAAATTTAGTATACGTATCAACCCTTTTTTATAGTTAATTTAAATATGAAAAAGTTACCAATTTGTAAGAATTATTCTAGGATACAGAGACAACATCTAGGTGGCTGGATATGTAAAATTTGTATCCTAGATCTTGAATAATTATGTAATGTTGAATCGATTATTAAAATCGCAATCAAAAACTTAAAATGCATTGATATGCATAAATTAAATAAAAGCCTTAATTAATATATATATACACAATACATATTACAAATAGAATTTATTATTCTTTTTCATTATACATATCATAAATACATTGATTTATTTATTTATCAATATAGAATATATTATATTTATCTATTTAATCTAGAGACTGTATCCAGGTAGATATTTATATTATATGCTATAATAAATTACTCAGATAACCAGGTAATTTAATAATACCCGGGTAGATGGGTACAATCTCTAATTCTTTGAATTACTACAAGACATGATTGACTGCCCAAATCCTATCTAAAACATCTTATGTATTCCCACATTGTATGATGGGTTAACTTTGATGCCATTATATTACTAATTATTAACGATCTATCTCAATCGTGAACAGGATGCTCTCAAGTATATTTATCTATATGATTGGCTAATGATCGAGATCATGCACAAGTACTATGATTTCATCGCAATATTGAACTAAGTTGATCAGCTAATTTTTACTAAGTAAACATCGAGCACTGACCTATGAATTTAGGTGCTTGAGAGCACCTTTAATAAGATAACAGTTCTAATTGAAGAATTTATCTATATAGATCAAATAATAGGGAGTTTCAGAATTAATAATCAGTGATTCAAAACAAGTAACGTATAAATCCTTCGTTTTTAAGAGTATATCAGATATACTTATTCACATAATCATCACTTATCAGTAAAAAAAGGTCAATCATTTTACTGAATATGTCTATTTAATTTTCTGATTTGAATTTTCAAATAAGGTAAAACTTCTTAATAGAAAAAATCTATAACAATCGAATATTAATTGAAATAAATTATAGATTAATACTGTAGAATTCACTTACTACAATACATTATCTATCATATATGTGAAATGTTGCTAAAAAATATTCTTGAAAAAATAAACTTATTACGAAATATATACATATTATGAAAATATTTGCTCTATTACAACAATTCTTATTTATTCCAATACCAATACATTGCCAAGACTATATATGTTCTACTTACATGCCACATTCTAGCAAATTCTTTTCAATGCTAATTCTATCATTATAGCAATTGGAAACATTATTTAAATTCATTTTTTAACCTTCAATACTACCTAAATGCCCTTTTTCCATCCTTGGCTGTGCCTATACTATTTATGTAGCAGTTTTTGAGATCGCCTTTAGCAGATTTCAATTACCATTTAAATGCTTTTTCTTCATCCTTGACCATTTTTACTCCATTCTTTTTAACCTTCATTCTAGATTGAATAAATTAAGAGCTTTTAAAATTTTGTGTAATTAAATAATATTTTAGAAAATTCTGCAATTAATCCACATTCTTTTAAAATGAATTTTCATTTTCGCTGATAAAAAATATTTAGGAACAAATAAAGGCTCCAATTGGCCTTACTATCTTATTACTAATCATTTTTAATATGTATATGTTGATGCCTAGGAACTAAATTAAAAGTAGAATTTTGAGTAAAATATATAGACTGATTCTCATAACAAAGAATTTCATAAATGGCAGATTTTCGTTCTGCACCATTACCACCATCTTTCATTGTTTTTTTAAAAAAAGCAGAAACTTGGTTGTGGTTTTTTTTTTTGACTGCAGCATATGAAAATGCTGCAAAACCAAAACGGCCATGATGTTCCATAAATTCAGATATATGCTTAACCAAGACATGTATGTATGGAGTAACGTCTTTTGGCCTATATAATCCTTTTTTAAAATCTCTTGTATTTGGCGCACTTTGAGAAGAAGTAAGGAATAGATCAAGCCAATTTTTTGTTTGAATTGAGAAAAGACCAGGATCAAAATTTTGTTGTTTCATATTATTATAAAGTATATAAAAGTCCCTTCTGAGATGATTAATTTGCATGCCCTGTTCTTTATAAAAAATTAATTCAAAATTGAAATTACATAATACAAGTTCTTTGTCATCTCCCATTAAGGAAGTGTTATTCCAATTTTGTGTATCATGGTCTTGCCAAAAATGAAATTTAATGGAAATTTTTTGCATTTCTAAACTAATTATTGCTCTAATATAATCATCGTATCTATTTTCAGATTTAAGCTCTTGGATTACTAATGACCACATACGATTCCAAATCCTTAACATTATATGAAGCAGATCGGGCACATAATGTTCCAAGGGAATCATATAAAGAAGAGGTGCTTTGGAATGACCAGGTGGCGGTTTTGCAGTTTAAAGTTGTTTTATAGTTTTTTCTATCATATATACCTTGTTTTTGATACCAATTTCCTTCTTCAAGCACAGACACCAAGAGCAAAAGTAATTCGCATTTGCTGCATTGAACCCCAAAATTATACTCAGGAATTTCTAGTCGCTACTGAAATATAGAATGATCTTCTATCGTGTTTCACTAGAATCTAACTTATTAGTTACTAGATTATGTAGTTCATTGATCATTGGTTCTATTACTTTTTGTAGTATTTCGTAGTTTTTGTAGCCAGGATATAAAATTATCGTATAGTGAAATTCAGCTCTATGAATATTTAAGATGTCATCTAAGATAGCACACATAATCATTACATGTTTTATCTTCCTGCCAACGTTGTGCCCATCACCTGAAATATGGATGTGAATAACTGGGTTGCTTATATTAAGAATGTTCTGGTCTATAAGACCTGGAATAACAAAGAGCAAAATGTCTGTGATATTTCTGTATCCTGCTTTTCCAACATATTTCAGCATTTCCTCTTCAATTTCTTTGTCATCAATATGCAATATTTTATTAGTTGTTGTAATAGAAATATTTTTGAGGTCTAAAATAAAAATCAGAACTTTTCATTCATTTCTTCATTTATTTTTTTTCTAGCATTTGAAATATTATGTTCTCATGGTAAATCGGGTTCAAGTGCAGATAGATCATAGTAGGCATCTCGGGAAATTAAATTTTGGTCAATAATATATACAAATGCATTAATATTCTGATCTTTCTTTTCTTTACAATAATCAACTAGGTAATTCTTGCCTTGAACATTAAATCGAATTTCTTTTAAAATTGGTTGATCATTTGGATTATAAAATTTGAGAGATTCCTTTTCAAAGGCTTTATTTATGTGCAGAGAAAATGCACAAGAACATTTTGTTTTCATAGATTCACTTAGCACACTAAACAGTTTAAGGGAACATGGTCTATTCTCTTTTCTTTTACGTTCACACTCTTGTTCAACATTCATGGCATTTAGACCAAACACGTGAATGCCAGAAATTCTTGCACAATTAATAGAACCTTTTTTCTATATGAAAAATAACAAATTTTTATAAAATGAAATTATATAAAATTTTATTAAAGAAGTTGTACTAACTCATAAATACTCAGTGGCAACATTAGATAAAGACTCTTTCGATTGTATAACATGTTGTTGAGAATTTTCATTAAATCTAATTATAAAGACTGGACCTTCTAAATCATATTCAATTTCACATTCTATTGTATGTTGTAATTTCCTTTCCCAACTAGTTTCAACTAAATATCTATCTGGAATTTTATATTGAGTTTTACTATTACCAGTATTGTGATTTGAGGTATAGTGTGACATATTTTTTGGAGGATAATATTCTTCATTGATAATATTATATGTATATTTAGTATTATTTTGTCAAAGTGAAAAAGGATTTTTTTCAGGATATTTATTACGTTCAAGAGACATGGTAATTGAAATTTTGAAATAAGAAACACTGTGTAATTATATACGTGCAATATATATAGTACACTGACATTTGTACACCTCTTGCCAGTGTTGTACATTTTGACAGTTCCAAGCCTTTTCAGCCTTGTTCCGTTCTGGGACATCCCAACCTTGTCTCTTAATTTTTAATCAGAGAAGTTATATAATGATAATAATGTTTTTTTTAAAGGTCTTAAACTTGTCCCAAATCTGTCTCAGTATAACACTACCTCTTGCTATAAATATGTATCTTGATTATGATAAAGTTTTTTATGATCAAATAATATAGTAAGCAAAGAGGATTAATCAGGTTTTAATCAAGATTAGCTTAATAATTGTTAATTAAAACTTGATTAATCATGATTTTTGATGAAAGCTATATATAGTTAAATGTTCAAGTATTTTCAGTATCTCAATTATTTACTTAAATCAATGATATCATTAATGGAGAATTATATGAAAAAACTGACATCATGCTGATTCTTAGATCAACATGGAATAATGCTTATATAATAAATTTTTATTATGATATAGTATCGATATGTCTTATTAAAATATAGTATATCCAAATCTCAATTCAGATATTCAGGTCGTATATTAACAACAGAAAATTTCAGTAAAGCTTTACAAATAATTCAGATACATATACATATTTTAATATTTACCATAATTTCTAATTAAGATAATATTTATTCATTTGGTCTCTTTGTCTCTTCATCAATAGTAAATTCTTATTAATATTATATGATAATTAATTGTTAGGTTTTGTATCTGTTATTATATAATATGTAACACATCATTTAAATAAAAATTATGGTCGATGAGTTTAGTTTTAAAAGAAACTGTTGGAATGAAATATGTGCAATTTGCAATCAACATAACACTTCACCAGCTCATTGTAGTTTAATTTTATACCAAAAAAATGTAAGTGACAATGCATAATACAGGAATTTTCTTGTCTAATCATTAATTTATGTTGGGATTCTTCTATCTGTGTAACGGAGATGTATTAGATTCGAGTTATATGACATATTGATACTAAGTTAACTAATCTATCAAAATGCTTATATTTGCATTTAAAAGTTTCAATCTAACCAGAATGGATGCAGAAGATTTACTAGTTCAGGTACTGCCTCATTCCTAAAGCGTATTAGTCCAATTTAATATTGTGTGTTAATTTTAATTTTTTTTAATAGTAGAAACAAAAAGAAATTCAATCTCTTTTGACTTGGCACCTTTACCTAAGCTTGAAAACGATTACTGTGAAATTGGTTACAGTAACAAGGCACTTTTAGCAGCAGAAAATTATGTTAGAAAAATTCAAAGAGTGACAAATGGTATAATACTGATATTTATTTATTAGTATGTGTATTTCAAAAAATAATGTGATTCTTGGTTTTTGCTATTTCATAAGGCTGTATAATTGATGCGAAAAAGGATAGATGCAAGACATTTATTTATTTTTATCTTGGATTCAGTGTTGAAAGGAATAGGTGTAAATCATACTTGCATTGTCAAAATTCGGGAAAATACAATGGAACGTTTTAAGTTAAAGCAATGAAACTAGAATCGAAATGATCATTTATTTTTGTTTCTATTTAAAAATCTGGTAAGATGAGCTCTATGCATTAGGTGAATGCTATTATAAAAGTGATTGGGCTGGCTTTTTATATATAAAAAGCAAATGAATTTTATTAAATATATATACTTTTCGCTTTGATCATTGCTTATAAATTTTTTCTGTTTATTGAATAAAATTGCATGCATACAAAATAATGAATATACAATTTACAACTAAAAAAAATTCAAATTATTATTTATGCTTATTGTTTTTTTTTCATCATTTATTTTCCATCCTCAAAATATCATCACTATATAGTATCTAGATAAATTTGGTGCCTAATCATTTTAATTAAAATTACATCTTTACACTAAATTCAACAAGTTGAGTGGTATAGTTCGAATGCCATTCAACACTATCATATGACTTCATGGATATGCATGTCTGCAAAATCATATGATAATGTTGAATTGCAGCATTCGAAATATGCTATTCAAAGTGTTACACCCAAAGATCATATGTATGTGTTTTTGCGAATGATTACCTCATCAAATGTAATACTACCAGAAGCTTTTTCCTTCCTATGGTCTCTTGGTCATAGAATTACCTGCCATAGCAGACTTTAGGTGCTTTATGCTTATCGATTTCGACTCCAATGCTTAAATAATAACAATAAACATTCTGTTAAATCATTCATGTCTGCCAATTTTTGATAATATATGAATGCCTTGTTTTTACCTTTTCAATTCCAATTTCCAAGCCTATACGATCCATCTGGATTGTTTATACGTATCTGCCAATTGTAAACGATTAGTAATTATTAAAACCATTGATTAATTTGCCTTTATTTAACATTTTTGGTTTACGAAAAATAAAGATAAATGCGTCATACAGACACGTACCATGTATTGCTTACAGTTATACAATACAATTAATTAGTCGGTCCTTTGATATCTTTAATAACCAAGAAAAGCACTTGACAACTGAAGCAGTTCTGAATAGTTAATTGGATCATTACACCTAGAGCACTCTATTTTGTTGTAGCCCTAGCAATATCTTCACTAACTTTTAAATTCTTTTTTGTCAAAAGAAAAAAACAAATTAATGTACTTTATAGGTAACTGATCTGCAGAAAAGCGTAACGAAGAGTAAACTTATATGATCTAAATCTATTGCAATATTTGCTATTAGTGAAGTGAGAAGTTAAAAATTAAATTATTTATTACAGTGCTTCACAAATTTTATTGGATGTCAACTAGCTGACGCATCCTGTAGATTATACAACTAAAATTTTTAGGGTGCGTCAAAAATGCTCATCATTCCAAAAATCCACAGATATGCCAAAATAATTTGTTAATCTACTAAAAATAAAATCTGTACTTTATTATATAGTAGCTACTGTAATATATAGCTAATTATAATTTTGTGTTATACTAGCCATACTAGCCATATTAGCTACACTAGTTACAACTTATATAACCTAAGTTATACAAAGTTACACAAGCTGCAGTAACTGCAATAAGCCACAGTAATACCTCTGTAAACACAAAACTTACTTCATAATAAATCTTATAATTATATCCAAATTTCAAAAACTTACAACTCAAAATCTTACTAAGCAAAAGAAGCCTAATTTTTTAAAAAAACTAGTTCAAAATGCTAACTTTAGTAAACTTTAAATCTGACAATTGATTTGGATTATTTCTATAAAAAATTTCCAAAAAGGTTTAGTATTGGAATCTATAAAGATATGCTACAAACAACATATTCAATATTTTCTAACAAACAACCTAATATCTGTATTACTACAGAGCTTAAAGGCAGCATTAAAACTTGTCACTATCTCCAAGCACTTGCTACTAGCAATACAGTTACATGCCTTTGTAAAAAATATTATACACATTTCTATTTACAAAAAAATCTTACTTATAAATAATACCAAAGTACCAATATTATTAAAAAACCAAAAAAACAAAAAATTATTTGTTTCAAAACTACTGAGTCTACCAACTTCATCCCACTATCTTCAACCTTCTCATCTGCATTAACTATACACCAATACACTTGTAGCAAGTACAATTATTCTATTAATTGTAAAGTAATTAATAATAGATATTATTTAGCTGCTAATGCTAAACTTTTTAATAACAACTCATGTTATAAATTCTGTTTTGAAATTGAAACTAAGTTGAAGCTAGTAAACAACCTATTATTAATCCAGAATAAGGATCTTTTTGAGCACCTTCACTTTATAAACTTGAACAATCTCTTAACATATTTCATACTAACAACCTACTTATTTTTTAACTTAACTTGCTCACTTCTACTACTGAAGTTATAGCAAACAATACAACAACTAATACTACTATTATGAATATTGATAACTCTAATCTATCTGATAATAATCAACAGCAATAATAACAATCAAAACAACTAAAACAAATACAACAACAACTACAAAAAACATTTAAGCAATTTAAACAATAACAACAAAAATTATATAAACAACTTAAACAATCTTATAGCCAAGCTGTAAGACCTAAGCTTAATTCATCATTTGACTAGATAACAAACTTTCTAGTTATTAAAAAAATGAAAAACAACACTAAACTTCAAACAGATATTTTATAAAAACTATTTAACTTTCTTAAAGAATATCTATATAACTTCTTTTTATGAAAAATCATTAAAGAAGTAACAGAAAATTACTCTACACTCAAAGCTAGTTTTTATTTACTTATTTGACAAATAAATAGTACTAAACACAAATTTTTAACAGACTTAATTCAACAGTATAATTCTATAACTAACCAATCTGCTACAATACCTTTTAATATTTTTGAAAAGACTTTCAAAAAACTTATTCTTACATTTATTATTGTAGTCTTTACCAAACTTAAATATTTAGAAATTTTTGCTTCATTTGTTACTATTTTATTTCTTAAAACTAAATATTATTTACAATTCTGTATTAACCTAGCCTGCCTTTATTTTTATATCTATCTAACAATTATTAAGTTATTAATTATACAAAATTTGTAGAAGACATTAAACTTAGACTAAAAAGATTTAAAATATCATTAAAGTTATTGGCTATAATAAAAATGAAAAATATTTTTCTATCAATATAAATACTTGATTCAAAATTCAACTAGAATTTAATATTTCTAAAACCTTATTTAAAAACAAATACAATATTCTCTTCTTAAACAACTTACTTTTTCACTTTAATGAATAGTTCAAAAAAGCTTTTTCATTATACAGTAGACAATTCTCAAATGCTATTAACAAAACTAAAGTATCTAATTAC